CCCCCACATCAGAGGACACCACTACACACCTGGAGGATGTGTAGTGGTGGCCAGCTTACTTACAAACCTAGGGCCAGATTCACGAAGCAATTACGCAAGCACTTACGAACCTGAGGCCAGATTCACGAAGCAATTACGCAAGCACTTACGAACCTGGGGCCAGATTCACGAAGCAATTACGCAAGCACTTACGAACCTGGGGCCAGATTCACGAAGCAGTTACGCAAGCACTTACGAACCTGGGGCCAGATTCACGAAGCAGTTACGCAAGCACTTACGAACCTGGGGTCAGATTCACAAAGCAGTTACGCAAGCACTTACGAACCTGTACACCTTTCCTCAATCTTTGACGGCTTTGGTTACATTTATTAAACAGTTTACAAGCATGAAAACTTGCCAATCAACTGTTGTTATTGTTATAAACAGCCTCCTGGTGCTTCGGAGCTCATTAACTGTTTAATAATTGTAAACAAAGCCGCCAAAGATTGAGAAAAGATGTACAGGTTCGTAAGTGCTTGCGTAACTGCTTCGTGAATCTGGCCCCAGGATAGTCAATTTAAATCTTGAATTAAAAATAGGTCGAATTCGACAAAGTTTGAAGCGCTCTGCCCTAGACTACATGAAGGGATTATATAGTGTATGAAGCAAAGTTTATTAGCAGCAAGGTGGCTTTAAATTAGGATTTAGATTAGTGAGATTAGGATCTAAAAGATCCTAATCTCACATGATGCTTAGTGATAGAGGGTCAGGTTATCTTCTTGAGGTTATCTTGAGATGATTTCGGGGCTTTTTAGTGACCCCGCGGCCCGGTCCTCGACCAGGCCTCCACCCCCAGGAAGCAGCCCGTGACAGCTGACTAACACCCAGGTACCTATTTTACTGCTAGGTAACAGGGGGCATTCAGGGTGAAAGAAACTCTACCCATTTGTTTCAACCTCTACCGGGGATCGAACCCCGAACCTTAAGACTATGAATACCGAGTGCTGTCCACTTAGCCGTCAGGCCCTCATTGGTCATGTGATTTTTGGGAGTCAAGTGATAAACTCTTGGGAGTTACGACCTAACATTTCGGATATAGTCAATATGAGGAATTATTCTCATTTTTATAATGAGAAAAAACTCGCATCCAGTAATAGGAACCGCGTAAGAAAACTATGAAGATATTAAGATGGGAAATAATATGTTTGATACATTAGTCTATGATGTCCTCACGATGTATGCTGTTATTGTAGACAATCACCCCTCACAACGTGATTGTCTACCACGGGAGACATCTCCCGTCCACTACGGGCTCACCATAGCCCGTGCTACTTGCACTGCTCCTGTGCCAGGTAAGTCCACTACGGGATCACCATAGCCCGTGCTACTTGCCCCGCTCCTGTGCCAGGTAAGTCCACTACGGGCTCACCATAGCCCGTGCTACTTGCACTGCTCCTGTGCCAGGTAAGTCCACTACGGGCTCACCATAGCCCGTGCTACTTGCCCCGCTCCTGTGCCAGGTAAGTCCACTACGGGCTCACCATAGCCCGTGCTACTTGCCCCGCTCCTGTGCCAGGTAAGTCCACTACGGGCTCACCATAGCCCGTGCTACTTGCCCCGCTCCTGTGCCAGGTAAGTCCACTACGGGCTCACCATAGCCCGTGCTACTTGCCCCGCTCCTGTGCCAGGTAAGTTACGGTGATCAACCAGGCTGTGCTTCACACGATTCACACGTCAAGCAGCCGCATGCAATAATCTGCTTGATCACACTAACCAGTAAGCCAGTTCAGAGACCGCCGGGCCGCCAGGACGCTGAACTTGGGAACGCTAGCCACGACCTAACCTTATCTTCACGATGTTTATCCTTACAGACACATGGTCAAACAGAGGAAGCTGGAACACCTAAGAAGCCCCCAAGGAGCTCAGATAGGTGAAGCCATCCATCTTCCCCCCCCCCCCCCCCGCCCCTTGAGACGATACAGGCTTCTCCTGTCTTTTTCGCGAAGCAGTTACGCAAGCACTTACGAACCTGGGGCCAGATTTGCGAAGCAGTTACGCAAGCACTTACGAACCTGGGGCTAGATTCACGAAGCAGTTACGCAAGCACTTACGAACCTGGGGCCAGATTCACGAAGCAATTACGCAAGCACTTACGAACCTGGGGCCAGATTTGCGAAGCAGTTACGCAAGCACTTACGAACCTGGGGCCAGATTCACGAAGCAGTTACGCAAGCACTTACGAACCTGGGGCCAGATTCACGAAGCAGTTACGCAAGCACTTACGAACCTGGGGCCAGATTCACGAAGCAGTTACGCAAGCACTTACGAACCTGGGGCCAGATTCACGAAGCAGTTACGCAAGCACTTACGAACCTGGGGCCAGATTCACGAAGCAGTTACGCAAGCACTTACGAACCTGGGGCCAGATTCACGAAGCAGTTACGCAAGCACTTACGAACCTGGGGCCAGATTCACGAAGCAGTTACGCAAGCACTTACGAACCTGGGGCCAGATTTGCGAAGCAGTTACGCAAGCACTTACGAACCTGGGGCCAGATTCATGAAGCAGTTACGCAAGCACTTACGAACCTGAGGCCAGATTTACGAAGCAGTTACACAAGCACTTACGAACCTGGGGCCAGATTCACGAAGCAGTTACGCAAGCACTTACGAACCTGGGGCCAGATTTACGAAGCAGTTACGCAAGCACTAACGAATCTGGGGCCAGATTCACGAAGCAGTTACGCCAGCACTTACGAACCTGTACATCTTTTCTCAATCTTTGGCGGCTTTGTTTACAATTGTTAAACAGTTAATGAGCTCCGAAGCACCAGGAGGCTGTTTATAACAATAACAACAGTTGATTGGCAAGTTTTCATGCTTGTAAACTGTTTAATAAATGTAACCAAAGCCGCCAAAGATTGAGGAAAGATGTACACGTCCGTAAGTGCTTGCGTAACTGCTTCGTGAATCTGGCCCCAGGTTCGTAAGTACTTAGGTAACTGCTTCGTGAATCTGGCTCCAGGTTCGTAAGTGCTTGCGGAACTGCTTCGTGAATCTGGCTCCAGGTTCGTAAGTGCTTGCGGAACTGCTTCGTGAATACAGCCACACAATGGAAGGCCAAATCAACCATCATCCAATATATACATTGAGGAATATGCATAGAGGGCCTGACGGCTGAGTGAAGAGCGCTCGGGATTCGTAGTTCTAAGGTTCCAGGTTCAATCCCGGCGGAGGCGGAAACTAATGGGCATTGTATTTCACCTGATGCCTCTATTCACCTAGCAATAAACAGGTGCAGTAGAAATGACAGAGAAAATTATTTCGGAAGACAATAAATTAGACAACCGACGGTTAGAAAGCCGGGGTCCAAGAGCTAAGAGTTCGATCCTGCAGGTGCAAATAGTAAATACATATCAATAATATTAAATATTAAAATCAAAGTGAAGTTGAAAGGGAGTTAAAAGGAAGGAATAAGTGAATGAAATGGTAAATTCAGGTACAAAAAGCCAGTCTGGAGCAGAGAGGTTCAGCGCGACCGGGCTCACCATAGCCTGTGCTACTTGGAACCTTGAGTTCCAAATAGCTGAATCTATTACAACAACAACAACAGCGCGGCAAACATGCATTGTTAAGGCCTAGCCCTGAGGCCTATAGGGGGAGGGGGGGGGGAGCTATAGGCTAAGACCCGTAGGCCTCCACCGTACAATTCAAATTCAAATTCAAAATTCAACTGTCGCTTCCGCCCCAACAGAAATTTCGCTAACGGCTTAAAGATTACAGATATTGACCTCCAACGCGTCGCCTTTTTTTGACAATTCTCTTGCGAAAATATATAATATGGAGGACTATATAGCGTTGAGGAAGTGGGATATGTTGTAGCGGGTATTTGGCAGTTGGGAACACACCACCTGCTTGAAAATAACTGCGTTCCATCCCAATTATTCCAAGTGAATGCTTGGGTGGAGGAGCTGCTCCCTGCCGCCATCTTTCTGGTCCGTCCAGTCTCTGTCTCTCTCTCTCTGTCTCTCTCTCTCTGTCTCTCTCTCTCTCTCTCTCTCTCTCTCTCTCTCTCTCTCTCTCTCTCTCTCTCTCTCTCTCTCTCTCTCTCTCTCTCTCTCTCTCTCTCTCTCTCTCTCTGTCTCTCTCTCTGTCTCTCTCTCTCTGTCTCTCTCTCTGTCTCTGTCTCTGTCTCTGTCTCTGTCTCTCTCTCTGTCTCTCTCTCTGTCTCTGTCTCTGTCTCTGTCTCTGTCTCTGTCTCTGTCTCTCTCTCTGTCTCTCTCTCTGTCTCTGTCTCTCTCTCTCTCTCTGTCTCTGTCTCTCTCTCTGTCTCTGGTCCGTCCAGTCTCTGTCTCTCTCTCTCTCTCTCTCTCTCTCTCTCTCTCTCTCTCTCTCTCTCTCTCTCTCTCTGGTCCGTCCAATCTCTGTCTCTCTGCCCTTGTCTCTCTCTCTCACTCTCTCTCTGTATAATTCTTGAAGTTATCTTTATTTGCCAATGTCCATGTCAAGTTATGACGAACACACACACTAGTAGTTATATAAGTATTATTATTAATGTCTCATAAGGTGTTTTTTGACATCTTAAATGGTAGTGAGCAGTAGTTCAACACCATAATCACCCAGACTGAGCTTCTCAAACTCACAAGATGAGAGCTAACAAGTAGTTGACATTGTAATTATAAAGTGTGAAAGATAGATGTAATTGTTAATGCAATAATTGCTATAATTCCTCTCAATTGAGATCTGATAAAGACCTTTTGTACCCTCTGTTTTGCGCTACCGCTCACAGGATGAGTATGGGGTGCACAATCAACCAATCTGTAATCTCTCTTTGCTATTAACCAGCAAATAAATATTTGAAGCCATATACTAGATTCGAACCTGCGTTTCAGAGAGAGGAGTCGAAGCCCAAGCACGCACATTCGAGTCCATTGTATGACCTTTCAATCTTCATTGTGAGCAGTGTAAGTAGTACACTTACACAGTATATATATGGTATAACATATATATTCATTAGTTTACCTTCACGTAATGCGGTTTACAGTGATTCCAGAACATTCTTGTTATTCGAACACCATCCTAGTTATTCGAACACCATCTGCAAGAAAGAATATAATCAACATATGATATTATAATAATTTATATATATATATATATATATATATATATATATATATATATATATATATATATATAACTGAAAACTCACACCCCAGAAGTGACTCGAACCCATACTCACACAACTGGTATGTACAGGGACGCCTTAATCCGCTTGACCATCACGACCGGACATAAGGAAGTGATAGCCGAGGCTATATGAACCACTTCCCCGCCGGCACTCGGATGGTAATCTTGGGCATAGCATTTTATCAAATCACCTCATTCTTTGGGGCACACGTGAGGAACACAAATGCAAACAAGCCTGAATGGTCCCCAGGACTATATACAACTGAAAACTCACACCCCAGAAGTGACTCGAACCCATACTCCCACAACTGGTATGTACAGGGACGCCTTAATCCGCTTGACCATCACGACCGGACATAAGGAAGTGATAGCCGAGGCTATATGAACCACTTCCCCGCCGGCACTCGGATGGTAATCTTGGGCATAGCATTTTATCAAATCACCTCATTCTTTGGGGCACACGTGAGGAACACAAATGCAAACAAGCCTGAATGGTCCCCAGGACTATATACAACTGAAAACTCACACCCCAGAAGTGACTCGAACCCATACTCCCACAACTGGTATGTACAGGGACGCCTTAATCCGCTTGACCATCACGACCGGACATAAGGAAGTGATAGCCGAGGCTATATGAACCACTTCCCCGCCGGCACTCGGATGGTAATCTTGGGCATAGCATTTTATCAAATCACCTCATTCTTTGGGGCACACGTGAGGAACACAAATGCAAACAAGCCTGAATGGTCCCCAGGACTATATACAACTGAAAACTCACACCCCAGAAGTGACTCGAACCCATACTCCCACAACTGGTATGTACAGGGACGCCTTAATCCGCTTGACCATCACGACCGGACATAAGGAAGTGATAGCCGAGGCTATATGAACCACTTCCCCTCCGGCACTCGGATGGTAACCTTGGGCATAGCATTTTATCAAATCACCTCATTCTTTGGGGCACACGTGAGGAACACAAATGCAAACAAGCCTGAATGGTCCCCAGGACTATATACAACTGAAAACTCACACCCCAGAAGTGACTCGAACCCATACTCCCACAACTGGTATGTACAGGGACGCCTTAATCCGCTTGACCATCACGACCGGACATAAGGAAGTGATAGCCGAGGCTATATGAACCACTTCCCCGCCGGCACTCGGATGGTAATCTTGGGCATAGCATTTTATCAAATCACCTCATTCTTTGGGGCACACGTGAGGAACACAAATGCAAACAAGCCTGAATGGTCCCCAGGACTATATACAACTGAAAACTCACACCCCAGAAGTGACTCGAACCCATACTCCCACAACTGGTATGTACAGGGACGCCTTAATCCGCTTGACCATCACGACCGGACATAAGGAAGTGATAGCCGAGGCTATATGAACCACTTCCCCGCCGGCACTCGGATGGTAATCTTGGGCATAGCATTTTATCAAATCACCTCATTCTTTGGGGCACACGTGAGGAACACAAATGCAAACAAGCCTGAATGGTCCCCAGGACTATATACAACTGAAAACTCACACCCCAGAAGTGACTCGAACCCATACTCCCACAACTGGTATGTACAGGGACGCCTTAATCCGCTTGACCATCACGACCGGACATAAGGAAGTGATAGCCGAGGCTATATGAACCACTTCCCCGCCGGCACTCGGATGGTAATCTTGGGCATAGCATTTTATCAAATCACCTCATTCTTTGGGGCACACGTGAGGAACACAAATGCAAACAAGCCTGAATGGTCCCCAGGACTATATACAACTGAAAACTCACACCCCAGAAGTGACTCGAACCCATACTCCCACAACTGGTATGTACAGGGACGCCTTAATCCGCTTGACCATCACGACCGGACATAAGGAAGTGATAGCCGAGGCTATATGAACCACTTCCCCGCCGGCACTCGGATGGTAATCTTGGGCATAGCATTTTATCAAATCACCTCATTCTTTGGGGCACACGTGAGGAACACAAATGCAAACAAGCCTGAATGGTCCCCAGGACTATATACAACTGAAAACTCACACCCCAGAAGTGACTCGAACCCATACTCCCACAACTGGTATGTACAGGGACGCCTTAATCCGCTTGACCATCACGACCGGACATAAGGAAGTGATAGCCGAGGCTATATGAACCACTTCCCCGCCGGCACTCGGATGGTAATCTTGGGCATAGCATTTTATCAAATCACCTCATTCTTTGGGGCACACGTGAGGAACACAAATGCAAACAAGCCTGAATGGTCCCCAGGACTATATACAACTGAAAACTCACACCCCAGAAGTGACTCGAACCCATACTCCCACAACTGGTATGTACAGGGACGCCTTAATCCGCTTGACCATCACGACCGGACATAAGGAAGTGATAGCCGAGGCTATATGAACCACTTCCCCGCCGGCACTCGGATGGTAATCTTGGGCATAGCATTTTATCAAATCACCTCATTCTTTGGGGCACACGTGAGGAACACAAATGCAAACAAGCCTGAATGGTCCCCAGGACTATATACAACTGAAAACTCACACCCCAGAAGTGACTCGAACCCATACTCCCACAACTGGTATGTACAGGGACGCCTTAATCCGCTTGACCATCACGACCGGACATAAGGAAGTGATAGCCGAGGCTATATGAACCACTTCCCCGCCGGCACTCGGATGGTAATCTTGGGCATAGCATTTTATCAAATCACCTCATTCTTTGGGGCACACGTGAGGAACACAAATGCAAACAAGCCTGAATGGTCCCCAGGACTATATACAACTGAAAACTCACACCCCAGAAGTGACTCGAACCCATACTCCCACAACTGGTATGTACAGGGACGCCTTAATCCGCTTGACCATCACGACCGGACATAAGGAAGTGATAGCCGAGGCTATATGAACCACTTCCCCGCCGGCACTCGGATGGTAATCTTGGGCATAGCATTTTATCAAATCACCTCATTCTTTGGGGCACACGTGAGGAACACAAATGCAAACAAGCCTGAATGGTCCCCAGGACTATATACAACTGAAAACTCACACCCCAGAAGTGACTCGAACCCATACTCCCACAACTGGTATGTACAGGGACGCCTTAATCCGCTTGACCATCACGACCGGACATAAGGAAGTGATAGCCGAGGCTATATGAACCACTTCCCCGCCGGCACTCGGATGGTAATCTTGGGCATAGCATTTTATCAAATCACCTCATTCTTTGGGGCACACGTGAGGAACACAAATGCAAACAAGCCTGAATGGTCCCCAGGACTATATACAACTGAAAACTCACACCCCAGAAGTGACTCGAACCCATACTCCCACAACTGGTATGTACAGGGACGCCTTAATCCGCTTGACCATCACGACCGGACATAAGGAAGTGATAGCCGAGGCTATATGAACCACTTCCCCGCCGGCACTCGGATGGTAATCTTGGGCATAGCATTTTATCAAATCACCTCATTCTTTGGGGCACACGTGAGGAACACAAATGCAAACAAGCCTGAATGGTCCCCAGGACTATATACAACTGAAAACTCACACCCCAGAAGTGACTCGAACCCATACTCCCACAACTGGTATGTACAGGGACGCCTTAATCCGCTTGACCATCACGACCGGACATAAGGAAGTGATAGCCGAGGCTATATGAACCACTTCCCCGCCGGCACTCGGATGGTAATCTTGGGCATAGCATTTTATCAAATCACCTCATTCTTTGGGGCACACGTGAGGAACACAAATGCAAACAAGCCTGAATGGTCCCCAGGACTATATACAACTGAAAACTCACACCCCAGAAGTGACTCGAACCCATACTCCCACAACTGGTATGTACAGGGACGCCTTAATCCGCTTGACCATCACGACCGGACATAAGGAAGTGATAGCCGAGGCTATATGAACCACTTCCCCGCCGGCACTCGGATGGTAATCTTGGGCATAGCATTTTATCAAATCACCTCATTCTTTGGGGCACACGTGAGGAACACAAATGCAAACAAGCCTGAATGGTCCCCAGGACTATATACAACTGAAAACTCACACCCCAGAAGTGACTCGAACCCATACTCCCACAACTGGTATGTACAGGGACGCCTTAATCCGCTTGACCATCACGACCGGACATAAGGAAGTGATAGCCGAGGCTATATGAACCACTTCCCCGCCGGCACTCGGATGGTAATCTTGGGCATAGCATTTTATCAAATCACCTCATTCTTTGGGGCACACGTGAGGAACACAAATGCAAACAAGCCTGAAAGGTCCCCAGGACTATATACAACTGAAAACTCACACCCCAGAAGTGACTCGAACCCATACTCCCACAACTGGTATGTACAGGGACGCCTTAATCCGCTTGACCATCACGACCGGACATAAGGAAGTGATAGCCGAGGCTATATGAACCACTTCCCCGCCGGCACTCGGATGGTAATCTTGGGCATAGCATTTTATCAAATCACCTCATTCTTTGGGGCACACGTGAGGAACACAAATGCAAACAAGCCTGAAAGGCTTGCCGGCGGGGAAGTGGTTCATATAGCCTCGGCTATCACTTCCTTATGTCCGGTCGTGATGGTCAAGCGGATTAAGGCGTCCCTGTACATACCAGTTGTGGGAGTATGGGTTCGAGTCACTTCTGGGGTGTGAGTTTTCAGTTGTATATAGTCCTGGGGACCATTCAGGCTTGTTTGCATTTGTGTTCCTCACGTGTGCCCCAAAGAATGAGGTGATTTGATAAAATGCTATGCCCAAGATTACCATCCGAGTGCCGGCGGGGAAGTGGTTCATATAGCCTCGGCTATCACTTCCTTATGTCCGGTCGTGATGGTCAAGCGGATTAAGGCGTCCCTGTACATACCAGTTGTGGGAGTATGGGTTCGAGTCACTTCTGGGGTG